ATTTAAAAAGTTGCAAATATTACATAAATAATAAAAAATCTTCCCCTAAATGTCTCGGGATGAGATATAATTTTGGCCAGCTCATAGTTCCGGGGTAATGGTCTGCATCGTTCTTTCAGATTTAAATTTGATCATGCAATATTCATGATGTAATTCTTAAGATGGGGAAAGTTTTAACATGGGATGATCCAATGGCAGAGTTGTAAAATGAATTGCTTTAACTGAGGGATTTGGTTCAAACCTGAGTAAACTGGAATATACTGAATTTTTAAGTAAAAATTGTCGCAAACTATCAATAAATAGAAAATTGATTTTAGACGAAGATTCAACTTATTAATTTACAGATCACGCTAGTTTTTATAATCCACAACGTAATTTATTCAAAAATACGAGTACCCACTGTAAATATTTTTTACAATATTGAGCTACGTAATATGTACCTATGTACTTTACATAATATTATTATAATTGAATAGGATAAGGAACAGCGTCAAAATAGTCATCATATTATATTGCATAACTGTCCCTTATCTTTATTATTGTGACATAATTTTAAGCAAGTATTTTTTGTAATCAAAATTATTTCAATAAAAAAATAACTTGACGTATTCCACACTACTTTCATAGAAAAATACATAGCCTTCTATACAATAAGGGAAATGATAGAAATTAAATTAATCTACAATGGCATCCATGAAGGCATTGTCCATATTCATAACCCGCACTATAATCCCTTTAAACTTAACCCTAAAATCACGACTAGTGAAAAAATCAACTAAACTAGATTAGTTATAGGGGTATCCTGTGTTTCAATTCGAGCTGATGAGAAAAGTTTTAATCGTATTGTTCTCCTAATTGGAAATAGGGCGTTGTGTTAATCAAGCTGAATGGAGGGGAGAATGATTAATAATGTCATTATGTTTTGATGAAATAACTATTTACTTTTCCACTCGTATTTTTGTTAGAGATAATTTTAATAAATACATTTTTTTTTCAATTAAGTATTAATACGTCATGATGAATCAAATGACGTAAGTACTTTTTTAATAGATGTTTTAGGGCTTTGGAATGGAATTCTGCTTACGTCTAGAATGTCCGGAGTTTAACGTCACTCTAACGTCACATGTGACGCCTGTCGTATTATAACGGATGTATACGTGTTACTTTATTTTCAAGGTAATACTTTATCATTGCCACATCAAACATCGAGGAAATGTAGGTAATTTAATTTTAACAAAATTTAATCTCATCATTACAAACATTCACAGTAATTTTTATTTTTATACATATTTATGAAATTAAATAATTTAGAATATGTGTTAACCGCTTTCCAATAAACCGTACAATACGATAATATCTAGTTATTCACACTGCACGCTACTCGCTTTCACGGAGTAAGCTACTGGGCCTGTAAGACCGGTAGCGGCTGCTTTCCCGTCTATTTAAAACCGTTTTCCTCCCCGTATGGGGTTACCATCCATCCAATTAAAGACCGGACCTGCCTGCCGTTCGGTTTTCTAATATTTTATTTTGTATTTCATGAACAAAACACGGACGTAATTAAGAATACTGTCCGGATGTTTTTGAACGCACATTTCAGCTTTTTCTCGGGACATTTTGAATTTGTTCAGAAAGGACGTTAAGCTTTGCTCGGTCGCATCTTAGCGTATTTGTAATAGGAGCGATTTTGCAGGGAGGATGTATAATCTAATGTGCTGTCTCTATGGCAACCCTACCCGCATTAATTCAGTTGTTTACGACGGCCCGTGGCCCGACAGACCGGGATCACCAGATGCCGCTCCCACGCCGCGCACATTGTCCCGACGTGGGCGATTATGTACCAGTTCTGTATCATTTTATTGTAATCCAAGCAGAAAGAAGGTTTGAAATGTTACATGCGTTAGTTAGGGTTATCGGTGAAAATATCTCCGGATTGTTGACTGCATAAATTTTTCTAAGCAAGAAATATGTTTTCAAATGAGCATTTTTGTTTGGTATCGACAAAGATAGTATTGGTATTCGTTAAGCATTTTTTTTTGCTACACCGACAAGTTAGTTCTATTCTTCTTCGTGGTTGAAAAAATTGTTTAAAAAAACAAATACCTACAAAACGAACCAGACCGATATCATGGAGTATTCCAACTTTATATCTGTCTAATACAGTTTTTGAAATAGATTTCCCGTTTAAAGCTTTAGTTAATTCTGTCTCTTACGTCGAGGTGGTTGATAATATGCTGAATATTGAAAATTTTCTAAAAACGACAATCTATTAACTTAATAGAATACGTTTAGGCAAAGATTAATGGTGATAACTAAACCTAACAATAAAAAAGAAAAACGTGATCTTGATTACAATAACATAGCAGTGAAAGTCCATGTTGCTTCCACAGATATAATTCAAAACTCTAATCATAATGCATAGAGCACCTATAAGTTGTAAATCTCGACTTTTTATGTTCTAATAAACCGTTTTATTAGTTATTAACACGTGTTAAACGACCGAAAGAGTGGGGCATTTGTACAAAAGTCCGATCATTAACATACGAGTGTGATTGACTACTACAACCTTAGGCCTTAAATGACTTATGGTACAGTCGGAATGGAAACTTTTTGAGACAGAAATTGTACCAACTTTAAAGGAGTTGAAGAAAATGACCAGTGTGGTGGCCAGAACAAATCCTCCATTGCTTAGAGAGGGTCATGCTGTTGCAATGGAAACTAAACGATGAAAGGAAATTACAATTAAAAATAATGTATTTGAGTCTACAATATCCATTAATAAATTGTTTATTAATCCTCAAAATCTCAAAGTAAACTTTTTTGTTTATTCTTTAAGTTTTACAAGTTCTACGTGCATTATTTTTCATGTTCTGATAAGAAGGAAGGCTGTAAAAACATTGTATTGTTGCCATCCCAGTGTACTATTGCCGTTCTGAAAAAGATATTATCATTTCACATGCTTCCTCTAACTCAAAAATAATCACGTTAACGCATCTGACTATACTTGTAATGGGCTATTAAACTATAACTCAATTATGAAGAGTTAAGGTGCGAACAAACAAATAATGTTATTGCACCCATAAATAATTTGTGGTTTTATTGAGTACGTTAAAAGTTATCGCCTAAATCTAAAGAAACTCCAACGGAACATGTACAACGTAAATAGAATGTGGCAACATTCACTTAACATTATCTTGGTGCAAGGAAAAGTACTGATAAGAAGAAGTAGTTCAGTAGCTTAACTAGAAACTCGATACCTGTGCGTTTGCGTAAAGAATAACTTAAATATACAATAAGTCAAGTGTTACTTATTTCACAATATTATTAATAGATAAGCAAGCTGAAGTGGCAATGGGCGGCGCACATAGTACGCAGAACTGACGACTGATGGGGCAGCAAGGTTCTGGGTTGGAGGCCACGTACTGGAAAGTGCAGTGTGAGACGTCCACCAACAAGGTGCAATGAATGGACAGATGACCTTATAAAGGTAGCAGGAAGGCGCTGGGGGATAGGGGGAGGTAATATGTTCATCAGTGGTGTATTATGATGATGATTGATGTACCTACACAAAAACCCTCAGGTAAGTCTTTATGACCATTTTATCGACTCTACATGGTCAGCATTTATCACCTAACCGTGAAAACTTTTTTACCATAGACAAAAAAGAAAATCCACAAACCCAAATATCTTGACACGGGATCAAATTACCATTAATAACCGACGTAAATCAATTATTCGTTTCAAACAGTCATCGACTTTTAAATAGTAATAAAATGTACAAACGGCAGTCAATTTATTTATTGCCTTAAAGTTGTAAAACGATATTACACGCCATAATGACGTGTGTTATTGGCATTTATTCGAACGGTTTTACCATCAGTGACCACTTGTTGAACGTTTATGATTATTGTTTAATTAAAAACAGATTAGTTTCACTAAATGCCACCAATCTGATCTAGTGCCGACGTGCTTTGTAATTTTCCTAGCTTTTTTCAGCGAAGATAAAATATGACAAACTTTTAATTCGAAAAGTATACTCAGTAATAATAAGTTTAGTTAGTGTCTTAATTCCAATAAAAATCATTTTTTAAACAAGAATTTACCTGAGTTTTAATTAATACTCCTTTTTAAACTGTTTATTTATTTATTTATTTAGGACAACCAACAAGACAGACACAAGTACGAGTAGAGGGGTTTACATACATATTTTTCTTAGGACTAGGTGCTCTTAATTACAGGCTGCCACGGCGCATGCAAAAGTGGACTTTTGACATAGTTTTAACGTAAGAAATACAGTTTTTATTTTAAGCAATACAAGCTGTTCAAAAAAAGGTAAAGCTAAGTTCATAATGAGTGCTAATAACAACCTTTTGGAACATAGCTTCTTAGAACATAGCCTGTTCGAGGGAAGTCTAGTCACATACCTAATCCATAATATAGGACTTTGTGCTTTAAACTCTAGCTTTCTCACGTTAAATTCGCTTCCAACAACGGTGTAACACTATGTAACTACTCCATTATGTACAAGCGATCCGAGAACCCTCGGCCGCAACTATGTTGCACATGCGCCCGACCATTTGCACTTGATTTATTTATTGCTGGCAAAAATGTCAACAATGAAACATTTTAAAAGTGAAACGAAATTGTTCACAAAAGGGTGTCCGAGCATTGTCTCACCCTGTTATGCAAATGACTACGCTGAAACCGAAAGTGCCCGCTCCCATAAAGGGATATCTTGCGCAACCTTTACATAAATTATCGATACGCATTAGGCAAATCACGAAACCCTTTGTTAAGAAACGTCCCAAGCCCTAAACTGGACAAAACCAGTTCGAACCGGACAAAAAATACCCAAATTATCGCCCATTATCTTACGCCTTTCAAGAAAGGGTGGAATTAGCATATTGGATTCAATATTTTGGCTTTTGTGGTAAACTCTACTTTCGTTTTCGCATTTTAAACCATAGTTATTTTCGTTCAAGTGACAGTAACGGCTAGGCACTCGGACAAAACGCTGTATAGTGCCATTAAAAGATTGGAGATGAATAGTTTCATGAAGTTTAGTGTCAATAAATTGATAGAGACATTGCAATTAACCTTGATAATCGTTATACGATCTTAATGACAATATTATGTTCTGTTATTATCTTGATAGCGAGTGTTATTGCGTTCGTAAATCAATAAGTGTGTCTCTATGAAGTGAAGCTTTTTTCCAAGTGAAAAGTGCAGTGATTTTTTTTCCTCTACATAAGAATGAGTGGGTATATTTCATAGATCGCGATCATGTCGAACATATTTCGATAAGTAGACTAGTTGTCGTGATTTACATTCAGGTGTGTTCGTGTTACCGGATAGTTAAGTTTTTACGGTCACGATAGAGGGCGAGCGAGTGGGGCCGATTTGTATATCGTAAGCGAGGCGACGACAGCCGATGACACGGTATCTGCTATGTCGTCGATCTCTTTATGTGTAAGTGTTACGTTTAGTGCCCCGTTTATAGCTTTTGGTTGCGTCGAGGTAGTGGTATAACTTGTTAGTTAGAAACCCGTAAGTGCCTTCGAGATTTTTTCCTCGGCTTTATAGAGTTCAAACGCGTGTGAATTCACTAGCTGACAATAAATTTAATCGGTATCTGACTTAATAAAAATGTTGTCTAACAAAAGGGTTTGGGGCTTGACTATTTTATTATGTTCTGTCCAACGATAGACTGACATGTTTTTGTTTTATATTGTTGATATTATAAACCTTACAAACCTAAGTAGAACTCTACACTACAGGTAAGAATAAACGATACACCACAAATAAATTATTTGATTTGATTTTGATCTGTCTGTTTTACGGTTAAACAAATGACGAATACTCCCTTCGAAGTAATTCAACTCTTGAATAACACTATGCTAAACAGAGTCATCAGAATCAATACGTTCGTTTTCTATCTAAAACGTCACGTCAACCGCAAGCCTGGCTAACTCAATCCAACATGGCGTCGACCGCACTGCCCATTCATCAGCGTCATAAAATGGTATTACTCGGATCGCAGGCTGTCTGCCATGATTACTGCGAATCATAATAAATCATACCCGCAGAGGCCCGCACATTATAATTGCTAGATCTCCACTATAAATCAAATATTTCGGCTGCGTGCGGGTAGTTTTTTATTGTCACATGCCGTTTGCAGCTGAAATGAAACTTTGGGTTGACAGTGCTGATTGAGTTTTGAAAGAACGTAATTTTTTGCAGTCTTCAGAGAGAAAAATATGCCTCAATTCAGGTCTGTTCTTAACCGATTACTTTTATTTATATTGTGTAACGATTGCTCAAGTACAATTTTAAAGCCTACTAAAAGTGACGCGATATCAATCTTATAAACTGTAAAATGATCAACTAGGTATTATTCTTGAAATAAACTATTGTCCTGTTTGCTAATGATTTGTATACTGCCTTTACAATCGGACTTCTGATCTAGATCTGGAAATATTAATTGTAAGGCCTTACGTAGGAATTTTATTTAATATAGGTACTGCACTCCTACTCTAGATTTAGAGATAGTTGGAGTTGATGATAGAAAGCAAAGCGAATTAGAGATCCATTTAAATTTTATTGTTTATTTACTTCTCTCGAATATATACTGAAGTGTGTATTTTTGATTGCAAAAACGTTAGTCTACAGCAGCACAAAACGTAAAACACAAAAACGGTAAAATTGATACACAGTTTTAATTTGACGCTTGATTACATTTCATTAACAGTCACAATGAGTTGTAATTACCTATTTGTAGTATCAGTACAATACTGGTTTAATTACTGTAACAGTACTAAACCGATACACGGCCCCTTCACACCTACAACTCAAGGAGTAATCTACAATAATTGACTCTCGCTGAGAAAGCTATAAATGGTTATTGAGTGTACCAATAAACGTGCTCGATTAATACCTCACCGAGTGTACATAATAACCCAAACAATTATATAGATATACTCCACTGTGGTTACGATGGAATTGGATATCAGATATTATTTGTTCTAGTCGTAGTAATTTCAGAATCAAGATTAAGATTTTTAACAAACATCGTTAAAATTAAACGCATATTTTGTATTATGAGTTTTATAAAATGAAATAACTAACAGAAGAAGTATTGAAAAGGATATTTTTAACAGCAAAAGCTAAAGTAACTTTGCTTTGTTCTTGCAAAATTCCATAGCTTCTTTTAGAAAATTCTTCACTAAAATGTTCACAAAGAATTCACGTTTCACGAAGCCATTATTTGTCGACCATAGTTTAGGGAGGAGCATTATCATTTCTTTGGTCGCCACGTCGACGAACCTCTTAGCCCGTAAATAGGTCTGGCATTTTAGAATCTTGCCTAGTATTTTACGTGCATTGGCAAATACTTAGGTACAATGCGGCAGTAAACCCTACAGATCCGTATACGTGCTAAATAAAGGTCAGTGGGCATCATAAATTATGCTTTATACCGTCTCAGGGACAATCTACTTTCGTGTGGTAACAAGCCGAGACATGGGCCCGCGGCGTCACATCGCCACGAGCGGCGACTCACGATTTGAAAACAGATTTATGATCGTCCACGATAACGGGCTTGCGATAAAAATTTTGCCATTCCAAGGAACACGTAGGTAAACGTATGTGACACTCACTTATGTACAGCCTAGAGCGAAGAAATATACTTATGTAATCGACAACCAAAATAGCAATTTAAAAATTGCAAACCATGAAAATCTGCTAATTAGAAAATTATGCAACTAACTGATTAATTAACTGCTCATTAGATGATATTCATTTTATTGCGATGTAGGTACTTGTATAATATTTTTGCTTATGACATCCATAGTCAATCTCTGCTTAAAGAACTATATTACGAAATGGTAGGTAAATAAGAACATAATACCTATACTATAAAATCTTAATATAAGTATTAAAATCTAGCTTTATGTATGTTAAATTGTCTGAATTTCAAAGCGCAATATAATTGGCAAAGCTGAGCGAAGCGAGCGAGCGCAAGACGCCGCGGCGAGCGAGCGCAAGACGGCGAGCGGCGTGCTACGCCGTAGCGTCGTAGTCGCTAAGCGCTCTATGCAAAATTTTCAACCAGTGACAATATTTTTTTTTTCTTTTAAATGAATAAAGAAACTTTTTATTCTTTATTTCTCGTTTTATCCTGGCATATCGAGCGTGTCACACGATTTTCAGTCTAACTCACGAATTTCAGTCGTGGGACAGCGGCCATTAAACGTTCATGTTTCAAGTCACGATTGCCACGAACCCTGTTTTTGTGATATCTAAAGGTCCTCTTTAACAATGGCTCGATTTATTTCTCCCATTGTTACACCGCTTTTGTTGTAATACAGCGAACTAGTACGTGTTTTATAACGGACTGAAATGTGAACCTGCTATTTTACCTCGTTTTGTGTGAATTTTATACTAAAATAAATTTATTTACCGTATACGTCATTTGGATCGACACTATTTTTTACTTCCGTGAGCTAAGGTTTAACCGTGTTGTTTAACATACGAATCATGATGTTGTAGTGTTTAATAGATTTCCTTCATTACAATAACCAGTTATTAATTCAAAACCAGCAAGTAGCATTTGCGTCTTCCATTACTAGAATTAATCTCGTAAGTTTTGCAGTGCCAGGACAAACTTCTATAGTTTAATGGCAAGAACGAGACAGCAGTTTAAACTTTTAGCCATATAACTTGGTCTCTTTCCCTTCTCACACGTCAGTGAATTCACTGAAAATATCGCCCCTACCAACCGAGCGTAATTGAAGCAGCCCATAGCCAACTCTAGAGTCACGTTTAACTCAGCATTGTTGTTGGCTATAAATAAATATAGTTTGTGCCAATAGAAACTGACAATCTTGTGAATGCATAATGATAAATATCGCCATAGATAGTTATTATAAGTACTGCCTCCGTATCCTTAACATCAATTTGCAATCAAAGATAAGTCTACTCATACTAATATTATAAAGCTGAAAAAATTATCAGTTTGTTTGAAGCCGCTAATCTCAACAACCACAGGTTTGATTTAAAAACAAAGAAATATCTTAGATAAATAAATAAATATAGCGATAGTCCATCTATGGAAGAAAGTTTCCTTAATAAAGAAAAATAAAAAAAGCTATAGGCAAAAATAACATCACGCTATGGCCAATAAGGAGCGGAGCATCAATAAAAATGTTGCGAAATCGGGAAAAATATTCAAACAATTTTCACGTTTTTTCATGGTTACAGTTAATCATTAGATACATAGCTCGGTATCAATGCAATGTGTGAATCATTCGGAAGATAGATCCAGGTATACGAGTAAAAGTGTGACTTAATTCGATTTTCTTTCCCAAAGGAGTCGCAGTGTTTCACGTTTCAGTGTGACTAGTTCTCATTATTCTCTATTTGTTATACAAGTTGCCAGTTTCTATGGCGGACCATAGATGAAAGAGTGCCGCCGACCTCCTCCCGAGGTCAGCGCGCAGGCTCGAATAATGCCATTGTTTTTGATCCGGCCTCTAACACTCATGGTGTTTGTGGTTACAACGATCTATGGCTATATTACTTCGCCTTAATAATAGTAGGTAGGTATTGCAATACTATAGTTATAATTCTTTAGAAAAATTGAGTATGTAGAAGAATCATTATAACGATTAAAAATAGAGGCCATATTACGTTAACGTTTTATGTTTAAAACGACACAATCTAACTTGGCATGATTTAAAAAAGTTTGTTTTATTATGAAATTAACTTGAAATTATTATGAAATGATCCGTAGCAGAACGAATAAGTATAAGTATATAAAATTCCTTGTCTGTGTAGGTGCCTGAAATTGTGGTAATAATAAGAATAATGTAAGTAATTGACCGACAGTAAATTGAAAACTGAAAACAGTACATTATGTGTTTCCATCATGTATTGAGCCCATTCAATAGAAGTAATATGAATAGATTCGTCCGGGAAAACTGGATTCAAAAGAAAATTCTTTGGTAAATTGCTGATGAAAATGAATTTGATTAATTTCTGATAAAGATAAACGTTTATTTATTTTATGTTAAGTCACTCAACGTTATTAACCAGTAAAACGTTAATTATAAATCAATTTAATGGTTAGCAATAATTCAAATGGCCGCTATGATAATTATAAAATATTGTTGTTAATTTAATTTAACCTAGACTCGCGGTAGGCATTTTCATTCGCGGTAGGTATTTTACTAAGCTAATCATAATGTAACATATTGGTAGTAGTAAAATGCAAAGTAAGTAGCAAAACACATTACTCGCAAGTTAATTGCAAATCAAAACTTAATTAGCAAAAAGATGTATGTATTACTTACTAATAATCCATAAATCTCCTATATATTCTGGCACATAATGACTCAGGTCATAACTGTAATACGATGTTATAAACATGTATTACTCTTGTAGCACCGTGCAAAAATCAATGTCCAACTGGC